AAGATTTTATATATATATATATATATATATATATATAACGAAAGAGATCTAAGCAATGTCAAACGAATAAATAATGAAATTAGTAATTTCCCTAAGAGAAGTAAACTCACAAGTAATTGGCTACCTAAAAGCAAATGTATATGTTCAAGGTCAAATCAGTTGTTAGAGACCAGAAGCAGCGAAATAATTATTACAATTATTAATTACGAGTTAAGATTATTTAAAGGAATATTATTACTGTTGCTCCTATAATGTATACACTATAGCCGAAATGTTTATTTCCAGAATATTTTTTATATATAAAATATTATGCATGAATATTTTTAAATTAATTTTTTTCTCTTCTTTATAAATTTTTATGCATAATTTCATAATACTTAAGATTAGGGCAAAACCATGCAATTAAAAATTAAGCTTAATCTAAATATTTGAACAATAATATTGGTAAAATTATTCCTAAGGCGTTTAAAATTTTTTTAATTGCATAAATACTGTTAATTTTGAAGCAGAAGTTAAACGGCTTTTCAAATGAATATTTAATTGATTAAATATTTCTAATACTAATGATACATAGTGTAAAAATAGTTAGTTTTAAACATAGGGTAAAATAGTGAGATACATAGTGTAAAAATAGTGTTAAAATAAATGTTTGTATTAATGCTAGAATTCCAAACAAAAAGTTTATTAATATCAAAATCGAATTAATTTCTTTTATCGCTTATGTCAGATGATCAAATATTTTCACAGTTAATTAAGTTTAATTTCTGAAGGTTAAAACTAAGATTGTTATCATGATTTTTAAGAAATGTAAATGCTTTAGGAAAAAAATTTTTTTTAATATTTTAATTAATAATTAATTAAAGCTAATAACATTTTCAATGTATCTGAAAACAAATTTAATAATTAAAATAATTAAACTATAATTTTACAATAGTAATACATAAAAATCAACCAAATTCAATAACCAAGTGATACAATTAGGAATATTTTTAGTAATAATTCCTTAATTGAGAAGTAGCTTATTATACACATCTTCCTTTATATCTTAATCACCACATCTTAATTAAATTGATTAAATACTTTAAGAACAACATTTAATTCTTGCTTTAAAATTATTATTATTTTATAGCAATAAAATATTTCTTGTTCATTAACAATTTTTGTCCATATATTATTTTAACATTTTATTCTCATGATGTCGCATTAGTAATTAAATCTTTATTTTACAGTATTGACCAAATAAATATTTATAAAATTATAAAGCAAAACATAAAAGATCATAAAATTATAATACAATATAAAATTATCACAAATTATAAGATTATGAGAAAATTCTTAATTTTTTATTTTCTCTATCAACACTTTTGTAACTGTATTATTTGATTTCCGACTGCTAACTGCACGTGACTGAAATTTTTTTTGAGCATTTTTATTACTTATTGCTTTATATGATATGGCTTTGTTTTCTTTTCTTTTATACGGTTTCAGATGTTATTGCCTAATATTGCATGTTAGTTTAGCACTTGCGAAAACACATAATATTTAGAAAATACCATTTTACTAGATTAGAAAGCAACTCATGACGTCTATCTCATTTCCTTTCTCCTTCTGAGTCTGAAATTTTCTACTTTTTATATATAGTGGCTGGGTGGCGCAGTTGGTTTGTCGTCGGCCTTCTGAGCCCAAGTTTGCGGGTTCGATCCCCAGCCCAGACACCGGATTTTCGGGATGCAGAAAATCCTCAGCGGCCATGTCGTATGATTACGCGGCATGTAAAAGATCCCTGGAGTGCCTTATTGGCTCTTGGCATTTCCGGCAAAATTAAATTCCTAGTGCATTAACTAGTTATTAATAGTAATTAAATACCTAGTCTCGGTGCTGCCATCTAGTGTGGCAGAAACTAGACATCCAAAGTAACAGTACCAACGGTATCTCACCCATTGTGGTGGTCCTGAAAGAGTAGATACCACCTCTGGAGAACGCACTAGGTCTGCTTATCGGCAAGACCGATTGTGCAGCTCATTGGAAATAAAAAAAACTTCTTATATATTTGTTAATTTATTTTTATTTTCCATTTTACTTCATTTTATTTATTTTTTATTTCATTTTATTTATTTTCAAATTCATTTTCTTTTAATTTAATTTTATTGATTTTTAGTTTATTTATTTTATTTTAATTATTTCATATTTTGCTTAAATTATATTTTATTTCATTTTTTTTTTTATTTAACTTACTTTTTTTTTGTCATTTGAATTTGACTTATTTTCGATTTTTATTTTAAAACGCTTTGTATTTCTAACATTTCTATTTTCATTTTTGGCTTGCCTTTGTTTTAAGTTTATTTTTAGTGGTTTAAAATTATAAGGATTACTTCAACATAAATCTCTATTTGAAATCGAAAAACATAAAAAGCCAGAGTTAAATCAGAGATTACGTAATCCACAGAAAAATGTCGTTATAAAGTTTACTATATTTATGTAGATAATCGAAGATTATATGTTGTTTTCTTCCTTTCTTAAAAAATTCCATCATTAAAAATAAATTTTTCCATCCCATTGGAATGAGCAAAAAACAATGTTAAACAATTTAATTTTTTTAATTTAAAATCCATTGAAATAAACTGATATGTAATCAACACATTACTATATTAATTATCCTAATATTTAATTGTTTAAAAGGATAAACAGTGTGAAAAGTGTTTTTAATAATGCTTAAATTGCATTTATTTATTTCTCCTTCTAATTTCAAATTTCATCAATTATCGCAGATGTAGTGCTTAGTATAAAGCATTTCGCAGCGTTTAAATTAATAAAAGTGTTGCAGCAAAGAGTAACTTCTGATATGATATGACATGCGTTTTACCACCATAAATAATAAATTTTGATATAAATTATTAAAATCATTTAGTTATTTAAATAAATTATGCGTATTAACAACGAAGTATTGTTATTTGATTTCCAAATTATGAAACATATATTTATAATATGTATGCATTTACTTTTTTTTTTAAAAATGAATAGTTTTATTTTCAAATATTAGGAATATACAAGGTATTGATTTCTATAATCATTTCGGAAGAAAGGAAATTTGACTCGAACACATACACAGAGAAAGAAATCCCGGTAAAATTACCTTACTGGATGATAATGAAATTTCTTGAAGAAAAAAGAAATAAACAAATAAAACATTATTCTTATTGAAAATAAAACAAAGTACGACTGAATTTGGTAGTTTTTCCATTCACATGGTAATGGTCTTCTAGAAGTTCTGGTTTTCAAAATTGTAGTTATTATTATTATTAGAATAATTATAAGAAATAATTATAATTATTACTTATTACCAAACATTTAGTAAAAAATACAAAACTGAAAATAATCAAATGGCTTTTATGCCATCCTCTAATGTATCATGATAAAATTTCGAAATTTTAATATATATATGCTTAATTTTATGCCAAATTATAAAACCATATTTTATTATTAATTTTACCAAAATCATTACCAAAGTGCTTCAATAAATTTTACTCTGCTTTTCGGTGTTTCCACAGAGTCGGAAACGTGGTAAATTTTAAAATATTCTGGTAATTTCGGTCATACTTTTTTCTCAGTGTTTGGTCTATAATAAATTGTTAAAATATTTTATTATTATATCTAGGTATTTTCCTACTACTTTTATTTTTCCTTTTTCTCTTTTTCGGAGTGGCAAGACAGTAAAAACTAATGATACAAATCTTATTGTTTTAAATTGAACTGTGTTTTTGTTCCAACTTTGTACCTTAGTAACGAGAAATCAAATTTAAAGTGAATAAACTTTAATGTAAACTATGTTTGTCTTGTAGCTAACCCGTTTTCTTGTAGTTTTGACCATACTTTATTTTCGGTGCATAACAATATTTACGATTTTCAAAAATTAAATAATTACCTTTGTAAAATCCCCCATTATAAATGCTTGATGAATTCCTGTGAAAAAGAATATCGGTATAAGAAGAAGTAGATTTTTGTTCCTATGGAATCTAAAGGTCGTTAAGGTCATATTTATTGAAAACTTCACTTCACCACTTTTGTTATTTAAATTGTCTAGGAACAGCAATGTAATCAACGCTGAAAGAAAACTCATCAGCACATACACTGTAGTCAAAATATATCTGATTTCGTTACTCGGCTTTTCTAGATTATGCAAAATGCAGGCAGATTCCATACTACAAAAATCTGAACCACACACACAACTTGAGTTGAAGTTGTATTCTCTTTGCTTAGAGTGTCTTTGAAAAATGTAATAGGATATAACATTACCCAAAATGTGACATGCTTGAAAGACGCAACCAAAAAATCCGAAAAAACGTGATGTTGTAGTCTCTAGTATTTTGACAGCGTTATCTGAAATCTGAAAGTTGATGACAGATAGATCGTTTTGCACATTTTTAACAACAGTTTCTGATTTTGTTGCTTCTTCAAGAACTGAACTCAAACGGGATATTTCGGAATCAAAATTCCGTCCATCCCCAGGCTCATTTGATAAATAGTTGCCTTTACTATCTGTGGTAATTAAGGTTTCTGTTGTAGTCGTGGATTGTTTTGTTCTATTTCCTAAAGAACCACAGGTTTCTTCCAGAATAGTTTGGATTTTACCTTTCCATACATCCTTCTTTTCTTGTTTATTAAAGCCTTTTTGAATTAACTGACTCTTTTCGTTGCCTAAAGCTCTCATTTTCAAAAGTGATCCATTTGCAAATTCAATTAACGCGATTTCTTTATTTGTATTAAGAGCACTAGCTGGAAACGCGCCATTTTCTCCGAACAAGCTTTGCTTGGAAGAAAAAATACTATCCTTATGCTTCCGAACACTATTAGAAAATTGTGGACTATCACTCAAATTGTTTTTCAAAGTATTTTTTTCTTCAGGAGAAGATTCTTGATTAAGATTCTGAAGATCGTTTTCTGAGCACAAATTTGCATACAGAGAACATAAATCATTCACATACGTGCATTGGGAACTAAAAACAAGAGAGGATGCAAAACCAACAATTATAGAAACTGGCATCATCACACCAAACACAGGGTAATAGTTTGAAGACAAATAAGGGACGTACGCAAACATGGAAATCACCATTACAAGTTTACTACCGAATTTCTTAATCAAGTATTTTGGTAGAAACAGGCATGCAATACAGCCACATGCGTACTGAACAGCAAAGCATATAAGACCTACTTCTTTATTCATTGTACTTTGTAGGAAGGCTAATCCTTCAGAGGCGATGAATGATAATAGAAAAGTAAAGCTTACCAATACTAAGTTTTTTATAATTCTTGCTTTTGTGAATTCATTATAATTATCAGGTTTTGCATTTTTATCAGTGTCTCTACTGATTGCTGCCTGTTGTGATTGCTCCATATTTAAATTCTGCTTTTTGTTATCACAATGTTATATTATCTGTAAAGGAAAAGAGAATATTGATTAGTAGTACACATAATGTGATTATAAATAAAGTTTAAGCACTTTCAGAATTTTGTTTAAAAAAATCTGATAAATAATTTAAATAAATGTGAAATAATAGGAATTCATTTACGTAAAAAAAAATTGTAAATAAATAAGTTCTGAAGTTCAACAGTTTTACAGTTGTTCGAGAGATGTGGTCCTCTTTGTTCAGGGCACTTCTCTGTAAAAAAAAAATTCGAGAATAAATTACAAAAACTCAGGGTATGGTAAAACGAATCTTAAGGTGAGTAAGATTCGTTTTATCATAAGATCAATTTACAGAAGGAGAAGTTACGGAAGAAAAAAATCTGATATACCAAACTTTTAACCGTATAATAGCTAAATCACTCTAATTAAATAATTATTACAGTAAAAATTACGGTATAGTCGGACAGGTCGGAGGGGAGACACCAGACAAAGAGGAACACCCTACTCCTCCAGGTTGGGGGTTAGGCGTGGGGCTAACAACCTCACCCTGTAAGAAAAAAAAGAACAATTGTTACAAGTTCTCAAAAAGCTAATATACCCGGACAGACGTCTCGAAGACGAACTGGAAAAGGATTTAAGGAACCGAGAGTAGGATCATGGAGCATTCGCTCCTTGTACAGGAATAAAGGACTACAAATGTTGATTGATCAAATTGAAAACTATCAAATCGATATACTGGTAGTTGCGGTACGCATAAGTAAACTGCAGAATAACTGAATTTTCTAGCTTCTTTATTTATAGAGTCGTTCTCTTTTACGGATAATGTTTTCGATGGCCATGTTCGATGGCCATGTTCGATGGCCACTAAGCCAGTTTTTCAAATTTGTAAGTTCTGATGGACTTTAGTTGAAATCCACTCAGAGTCTCATAAACTTGCTTCTAAACACCTTAAACGGAATATTTTTATGGACGATTTCATCATGACAGTAAATACAGAAAGTGATGCTATAAAGATTTACTATGAAATTCAGGATTTGATGTCACGTGTAAAACTACCTTTTGCAAAATGGATCAGTAACTCCAGAGAATTAAAAGAAATCTGGAATCAAAACGAAACTGATTTTAAACGAGAATCTATGGTATTAGGAGTTAATTGGAATACTGAAAGCGATACTTTTAATCAAAACATAGATGAAAGTTTGCTAAATTTAAACAGCAACCCCGCTACAAAACGTTCTCTTTTACAATCAACAGCAAAATTTTATGATCCTCTAGGTCTCTTTGCACCAGTTTTAGTTTTGGAGAAGATAATGTTTCAATGCCCATGGTTTTGTGGCTTACAATGGGATGAGATATTACCACCGGACATTGCATCGAAATACAACAGATGGAGTACAGAACTGTCATTATTAAAGTATGTAAGGATTCCCAGGTGGATAGGAGTTTCGAATTTATCAAACATCGAATTTCACATATTCTGTGATGCTTCAATTTACATGCGCTCAAGAACAGGCAATAATATTACAGTTAGATCAGTGTGCAGTCGTAGTCGCCTATCTCCTGTTAAGAAAATTACTCTTCCACGTCTTGAACTGTTATCAGCTTTAACAGGAGCACGATTATTTCACTATGTTTGCAAAGAAACTAATATCCAGTCTTCATCAGCAACGTTTTGGAGTGATTCAACAGTAACATTGAATTGGAAAAAGGCTCTCGTGATAAAATTAATTAACGGTCGGGACGGAAAAATTCTTACTTGTATTCTTCGTATCGAAGGAAAACATATAACCCGTCCAATCCAACTGGTCATACCTTTGGAGGATGACTAGGGAGGGGTGGATGTTGCAGTACGCATAAGCAAACTGAAGAATATCTGAATTTTGAATAATGTTTATTTTGTTTATGTAAAAAAAGAATACCTTTGTTTTGGAATACTGTACGTTACGTTATCTTAGAATAAATATATCATTTTCATTGATGTTTCCTATTATTATTAGTTGATAATCTTCAATATAGATGTTGCGGTACGCATAAGCAAACTGCAGAATAACTGAATTTTGAATAATGTTTATTTTGTTTATGTAAAAAAACACCTTTGTTTTGGAATACTGTACGTTACGTTATCTTAGAATAAATATATTGAAGATTATCAACTAATAATAATAGGAAATAATTGAATTTTGAATAATGTTTATTTTGTTTATGTAAAAAAAACACCTTTGTTTTGGAATACTGTACGTTACGTTATCTTAGAATAAATATATTGAAGATTATCAACTAATAATAATAGGAAATATCAATGAAAACAATATATTTATTCTAAGATAACGTAACGTACAGTATTCCAAAACAAATGCATTCTTTTTTCTACATAAACAAAAGAAACATTATTCAAAATTCAGATATTCTGCAGTTTGCTTATGCGTACCGCAACACTAGTTATCCAAGAAGTCAGATGGTCTGGAGATGGAATAATTGAAACGAAAAATCACACAGTTATCTATAGATAAGAAAAAACATATATTTGGAACTGGCTTTATCCTGAGTAAAAGGATAAGGAAATTATAAATAGATTATGTCACCAAATCATCCAGACTTTGTAAAATTAGAATTAAGGGAGCTTTTTTCAACTACAGTTTCATTACTTTTCATGCTCCAACTGAAGACAAGGACAATGTGGAAAAGGAGGAGGATGAACTGCATTCGTTATATGCATCCTGTCCAAAAAATGATGTCAAAGTGTTACTAGGGGATGCAAATGCCAAAATTGGCAAGGAAAAGGAATTTAGATCAATAACAGACCACTTCTTAATAATAGCAAAACTACGAGCTAGAATCTCCTACATTCAAAAGATTCGAGGAAAATGTTTGGAAAAGTTTGACTGTAAAGAACTAAAAGATGAGGCAATTAAGCTCAAATTCCAGAATCAAATTGACAGTAACCTTAAAGAATCTAAGGATAACTATAGGGAGGAAGATAGCATAAACGCTAAATGGAACTCTTTGAAGGAAACAATTATTAAGACTGGTAACGAGGTTGTTGTAAAAGTTAAGAAAACTAAAAGGAAAGATTGGTTTGATAGTGAATGCTACATGGCAACAGAAAATAAGAATGAAGCATATAAAAAGATGATGAATAAGGGACATTCTAAAAATGCTGAGATCAAATACAAAGAGACAAGAAGGGAGGAGAAGAGAATTCATAAAACAAAGAAGAAGGCATTTTTAGAGGATCTTTTAAAAATGTTGAACATTAAGATCTAATGAAAGCAGAGCTTTTTTTCTGGAAATAAACCTAGAACGAAAAGAATTCAAACACAAAACTACCCCATGTCGTGGCAAGAATGGAGCAATCTTGACAAATTTTGGAGAAGACAATAGAATTTGGTATTGACACGCACCATCTGTTTATTGATTTTAAAACAGCCTACGATAGTGTTAGCCGAAAAACTAATATCAGTCTTAAGAGAATTTAATATACCGGAGAAACTAGTGAAGTTGATTAGCTTGACACTGAGTGAAACAAAAATCATGGTCAAGATACAGAATAGTCTTTCCCATCCAATAGAAATTAAAAATGGTGTACGACAGGGAGATGCCTTGGCATGTCTTCTCTTTAATCTAACATTAGAAAAAATAGTAAGGGACTCAAACATCAACACCCGAGGAAATATCTTCAACAAATCAGTTCAAATATTGGCTTTTGCTGATGATTTAGATATTATCGGTAGAACGCAGACAGCACTAACACAATCCTTTTTATGTCTGGAGAAGAAAGCCATTAAGATGGGATTAAGAATCAATGAAAATGAAACTAAATATATGCCCTGCACAAAAGCTGGTTATGAAGAAACACTGTTTGAAATTGGAGCATACAAATTCGAAGCAGTTGATAGCTTCACCTATTTGGGATCTAAGATTAACAACAAAAACGACACTACACAAGAAACACACACGAGAATCACGATGGCCAATAAGTATTTTTATGTTCTAAGAAAATATTTTAAGTCAAGCCTAATAAAAAGAAAAACAAAAGTGTTACTCTATAAATGTCTTATACGATCAGTGCTTACATATGCATGTGAGACCTGGACCCGTGGAAATAAAATATGATAGCTAGATTTGAGAGAAAAATACTGCGAAGCATTTTTGGTGGAATAAGTAAAAACGGTACCTGGTTTAGAAGATCAAACACGGAACTTTACAAGGCATATTAGAAACCTGATGTCATTATATTTATCAAAATTCAAAGAATTAAATGGGCGGGACACATTATAAGAATGGAGGATAGCAGGACAACCAAAAAAGTGTTCACTGCCTGGCCAACAGGTACAAGAAAAAGAGGACGACCAAACCTAAGATTTTTAGATTGCCTTGAAAAGGACCTACAAGTTTTAAAGGTAATAAGCAGGAGAACCTTGGCTAAGGGAAGAATGTCTCGGCGTAGGCTTGTTTAGAAGGCCAAGACCCATCCTGGGCTGTCGTGACAATGAGAAGAAGTAGAAAAAGAGAAATTACGGTATAATATGATACAGTAAAAATATATTTTGGGGATGATGTACGCCACAGTCAGTACTTTATACCACAATTTGATCCGGTATTTTTTTCGGTGTCTTTTGACTGAAAAGATGTCACAGAGGATTGGAGATAATTGAAAAAATATGTTTTTATTCGTCCGTAGTCCAATGACTGTAAAAAAAGCTAAATTGAAATTAATTCTTAATTGTCTCTGACACAAAAAACGTATAAAAGCAAAACTTGAGGGAATTAGCTTTTGATAGACATCCTTCGAATATAAGGTGTGAGCTAACTTCATTTCAAGAAAAAGTTCAAGAAAAGCAATAAATAAGTAAACAACAGCACGCTAAATGTCCGACCTATTACGCCATTAAGCTGTATCGTTCTTAGTTCCTATCGTCGCAGAAAAAGTATAAAGATTCTCTGCAACTATCGATGGTCTAAATTGTTTAATATTGGTTGATCAATTCAAATTTTTTCACCAATGAAATCATTTTATTTTTTATCAC